AAGAACTTTGTTGTAACTACGCAGACATATTCGGACTTGATACCGAATCAATAACAACCAATAATTTTTACAAGCAGAAACTAAGATTAAAAGATAATGAACCTGTATATATAAAAAATTATAGAAATCCTCATAGTCAAAAAGACGAAATCCAAGCTCAAGTCGATAAACTAATCAAAGATAGAATAGTTGAACCGTCAGCCTCAGAATACAACAGTCCACTTTTACTAGTACCAAAGAAATCCATAGACAACAAAAAGAAAAAATGGCGATTAGTAGTTGACTATCGCCAAATTAATAAAAAATTACTATCCGATAAATTTCCACTTCCTAGGATCGATGATATCTTGGATCAACTAGGAAGAGCAAAATATTTCTCTTGCCTTGACTTAATGTCAGGATTCCATCAGATTGAGCTAGACGAAAACTCTAGAGATATAACATCCTTTTCAACGAGCAACGGCTCTTATCGCTTCACGCGATTACCATTTGGTTTGAAAATAGCTCCCAATTCATTCCAAAGAATGATGACTATCGCATTCTCTGGACTTGAACCATCACAAGCATTCCTCTATATGGATGACTTAATAGTAATCGGTTGTTCCGAAAAACACATGCTTAACAATTTAATTAGTGTTTTTGACATGTGTAGGAAACACAACTTGAAACTACATCCTGAAAAATGTTCATTTTTCATGCATGAAGTCACATTTTTGGGCCACAAATGCACAGATAAGGGAATCTTACCAGATGACAAAAAGTTTGACGTCATATTAAATTATCCAGTCCCACATGACTCTGATAGCGCTAGACGTTTTATAGCATTTTGTAATTACTACAGACGATTCATCAAAAATTTCGCCGATTATTCTAGGCATATAACAAGATTAAATAAAAAGGAATGTTCCATTTGAATGGACTAATGACTGTCAAAATGCATTTGAATATCTTAAAGCTCAATTAATAAAGCCTACTCTGTTACAATATCCAGATTTTACGAAAGAATTTTGTATAATCACAGATGCTAGTAAGCAAGCCTGTGGTGCAGTGCTAACACAAGCCCACAACGGGACTCAACTCCCAATAGCTTACGCATCGAGAGCATTTACCAAAGGAGAAAGTAACAAAAGTACGACGGAACAAGAGTTAACAGCTATTTATTGGGCAATCACCAAATTTAGACCCTATGTCTACGGAACTCATTTCATAGTAAAAACAGACCATAGACCACTAACATTTTTGTTTTCAATGACAAACCCCAGTTCTAAATTAGCGCGTATGAGACTTGAATTAGAGGAGTATAATTTTACTGTAGAGTACCTAAGAGGCAAAGATAATTTTGTAGCCGATGCATTGTCACGGATAACAATATCTGAACTAAAAGACATACAAAATAAAGTCCTGAAAGTCACTACCAGGTATCAAAGTAGACAAAAATTCTGCGCAGAAAACAACAAAGTAGAGATGCCAAAGCAATCTACCGAAACAGCTTCTCAGCCCAACGTATACGAAGTCATTAATAATGACGAAGTACGTAAAGTAGTGACCTTGCATATAAAGGATATGCTATGTTTCTTTAAACATGGTAAGAAAATTATAGCAAGAATTGATATTGGAGATTTATATACTAATAATGGAAATATTGACTTAGGACAACTATTTCCAAGGCTAGAAAAAGAAGCCGGTATATTAAAAATCAGCCAATTGAAAATGGCACCGTGGGAAAATATCTTTGAAAAGGTTTCAATAGATAATTTCAAAATTATGGGCAATAAAATATTGAAAACATTGAGAGTAGCGCTACTCAACCCGGTGACCACATTAACAAATGTTAAAGAGAAAGAAGCTATATTGTCTACACTACATGATGATCCAGTACAAGGAGGTCACACAGGCATTGCAAAAACCTTGGCCAAGTTCAAAAGACATTATTACTGGAAAGGTATGACTCGCGATATAACAGAGCACATCCGGAAATGTCAGAAATGTCAAAAAGCAAAAACAACAACAAATATAAAGACCCCTTTAACAATTACAGAAACCCCGATGAAGGCTTTTGACAGAGTGATAGTGGATACAATTGGTCCACTACCCAAGTCAGAAAAAGGCAATGAATATGCAGTCACGCTCATATGTGACTTGACTAAATATCTAGTTGCTATACCTGTCGCAAATAAAAGCGCAGCAACCGTTGCAACGGCAATATTTGAATCATTTATTCTCAAGTACGGTCCAATGAAGACGTTCATTTCGGACATGGGAACGGAATATAAAAATTCAATTATAAACGATTTGTGCAAATATTTAAAAATAAAAAATATAACATCAACTGCACACCATCATCAAACTGTTGGAACAATAGAAAGGAGCCACAGAACATTTAACGAATACATACGATCCTATATATCAGTAAATAAAACTGATTGGGACGTATGGCTTCCATATTTTGTTTATTGTTTCAATACAACCCCCTCTATGGCACATAATTATTGTCCATATGAGTTAGTATTTGGTAAGACTAATAATCTACCAAAATATTTTGATAGCATAAGTAATATAGAACCTATATATAACATAGAAGACTACGCTAAAGAAAGTAGATATAGATTAGAAGTAGCATACAAAAGAGCAAGAAATATGCTCGAGTTAAATAAACGGAAAAATAAGGAAATTTATGATTTAAAAACTAGGAACATAACGCTATCAATAGGAGATAAAGTTCTACTAAAAAACGAAGTAGGCCATAAGCTAGATCTTAAATACACAGGGCCCTATATAGTTGAAAAAATCGAAGATAATGATAATATAGTTATTTCCGGAAATAAGAATAAAAAAAAAACAGTTCACAAAGATAGGTTAAAATTTTTTAATTCATAACAGACACAAAATAAAACAAAAAAAAAATACAAAAAAAAAATTTAATTATACAAGATGTGCAAAAAGATATGTATACACAAAAAAAAAAAAACATTAAATACATTACAAATACAAAAAATCCTCAAATAAAAATTTTTTTTTATATATATAAAATAAATTTAAGTAAAATAACTACATTTAATTACGTTATTTTTCAAAAGGAGGGAGATGTAGTATGTGCATATATTGAGTGTACACTGTACCCAATGGTTAACAATAAATGTATCAGCAACACATTGTTGCAGTACACAAACAAAACCACTTCAAGTGAGCGTGCAATATGATCGCCGCTTATGCGCTAAGCTAAGTCAGCATTCCCACGCTGACCACTTGAAGCATATATATATACACATATGTACATACGGCTCTTGCCCTCTCGATTATGCTGATAAGACAAATATGTATGAAGCCGCTCCGCTGTTGGCGTAACCGGCAGCGCAGCTATGCGGTCTGATTTATAAGAATAAATTCAATAAAGATATTCTAAAAACCGAAGTCAAACGGCACAGACGTGCCAGTGTTATAATTGTAATATTGACATATTACATGGCGACCGTGACAGGATAGCTAAGCAGCTATTTTGCCATTTTGCGAAGCTGCTGAATGTTAAAGATGTAGTTGCCAGAGGTCCAGACGGATGAAGTGAGCCTGTCACGCGCAGCCGTTGCTCAGCTCATGGCGCGGAGCCACCGCTTTTCTACAGATTGCTGAAGACGCTATGGAGAAAGGTATGCAATCTCGCAGCTCATGGCTTATAATATAAGGCTCTTCATGTATGATACCCAGAAGAACAACTTTATCCATTGGCACACATTTGATCGATACATAAAGGACTAAAGGAACATGTATGTACATTTTTGTTCAATCTATTCGTTTTTAAAGAGATTGACAAACATATTCCATGTCCATCAATGATATACGAGAATGGCAGCTCCCAGGAGAAACTCAACAAGATATTTCCCACTCTAAAAAGGATCCGAGTCAGTCGCATAATGATAGACTTGTGCGGGGAAATCCAAAGGAATGGTAATCAAAGGTATTTTCCCTTTACGCATCACCCTGCTGCACTGCATGTCCACCATTTCGCGAGCAAAGAGACCCTGCTCCAGGTGACGCTCTCTTGGCGTTATGTGCAGCATTATGGCGATATGTGTTATGTGGCGAATTCTGGAAGCTGTTGGAAAAGGGAATTAGCCTCAAGCATCTATTTATTACCTGTTTATCCGCTGAGCTATTGACTCAACTGCCTTCTTACTCGTTGCAGATTTTTGCCAGTCTTATGGCAGCTGGGAAATGATTACATGGACTGTTGCAAGCGTGGAGCTGCTTTGGCATACCCTTGCCAGACAGAGAGGCCTGACTGATTAAAAGCCAGAAAGCAGGAGACGCTCTTAGGATGCTGTGTTGGTCACAGGAATACCTGAAAGTATACCGAAGGTGGCCATAGGTCAAACCTCTTTAAACGGCCATCGAAATCGATGTTGTGTAGAAGCAAAGGCTATAGGCTATAGGTCAAACGCATAAAACCCAAATTTAATAAAAAAGGCACCGTCAATGTCTTAAAACAGTCTTAACTGTCTTAACTTAATACATTAGAAGATTGATGTACATCTTAGAGAGCTGAGCTATATGGGCATCGGTTTCTGAAGTATAGTGCATTTCTTGGAGCACCATTAGCAACGATATCGTGGAACTGTGACTCTCCGGAACGGAACGGAGCTCGTTGAAAGCCATTTCGATTCTAGTTATTTGTGCCTTTTTTCTTAAATCAGATTCCTAAGTGGATTATGTATTGTATATACAAGCAACAGTTTTTCCTTTTCGCGGATAAATCGCAAGGAGAAGGCCATGCGCTCCAAGAAGGAGAGACGCTAGGGGAATATTGCATTGGAGAGTCTGCGGAGTATGCACAGATCGGTAGGAGAGAGCCTCCGATTGGCTAATCCCGACGAACAACTTGGCTAAAAGCGTTAGGAAAACTCAAGGAAGGCGCAAAAGAGTAAAGGAAAGATGCAGTTCGAAACATTAGGCGCGAGACAAACCAGACCCAGAACCAGACCCGAACAGATTTAAATGCAAGCATGTACCATCCATAGCTTTATTTATTGTTAATCAAACACATTGTACTTCGTATGTGGATTAGAGTTAATTGGTTCGGCGGGATGTTGATGGTCCATCGTCTAAACTAAGTCAAATAAGGAACTTGATATTCATGTGCATGTTGTGGTAATTTTGTGAAGTTAGCAATAGAAGTTTGCCCTTTGGGAAATCGTCTTTTTGGGCTGTGAAACAAATAAATTAAAAAAAATATCATATTAATTTGTCGGAGGCTTTTACCTTTAATTGAATGGTTTGTTTTCCTATTCTTTAGCGGAAGCTGGGGTATTCCCTTGTTTGGCTTCAACGAGGTTGTAGTACGTGGCTTCGTCCATGGCGTTGCGTAGATTTGGATTGATGTTTTTAGTGTTGGCCTTGTAAATTTTGACCTCATTGCAGAAATCTGGCCAGAAGTCTTCCCCCTCAGCTAAGTTGAGCACCGTTTGGAAGCGCTCGTAAATGATCGTGGCCTTTTGACGAATGATTTTGGCCTGTGCATTGAACGCAGCCTCATCGGAGGCGTCCATCTTCCAGACATTCAAATTTCCCACATATCGTCGCATCGAACGGATCGTTTCCACACTTTGTGGATTACGCAGCAGCATTAGCTTGGTCACATCCAATTTTTTTAATAGCTTCAGGTTCGTAAAGCAACGGCTCACATTAGCTCGACGCTGGTTCAAGCAGCAGCGGACCACTGCGGTTAGCTGAATTAAGTTCCGCTCTATAAACATAGCTGTCTCCTGTTTTTTGATCTCCTCTCGTAGTTTCACTTCTTCCTGCTTGGTCGTCTCGTTGGAAGAGGGTTCAGCGACGACACGTCCTGGAAGCGATCTGGGATCTTTTTGTCCTGACAACAACTGGAGCTTCAGTAGATTGGCCTCTTTACGCGACTCATCCATCCAGGACTGCTCCGCAGCGGCATTTTCAAATCTCTTCGGCTTGTTGTAGTTGATGTTGATGCCGAAGACTTTGGATGGAGGCATATACAGCAACAGCATATCATTTTCTTTATTCTGTGTCGAAAACATTTTGTATTTTGAATTGAATTCTAAATTGTCTTCTTGAACTGATTTACTTACGTTTGCTGGGTGTGATTGCTTTTGGTTGTTTGCAGTTTCTTGTTGCACAGTGGTCGCCTTCTCGGCCACTTCATCAATTGCAATCATAGCCCTGCGGAAATCGGCTTGCTTCAGGTGATGTTCAGTGGAATACTCTTCCTTAAGCTTGAGGTATGGCGTGAGGTTTTTCAGTAGTATGTAGCCGATCTGTCCCGAGCCATAAAAGCTCACAGTGTACTGCTTCTTCCTATTAACATCATGGGTAATCACCGCCGGCCATGGTTTGTAGCCGCGCACTTTGGCAAACACCAAATCGCCAACTTTGAACGATTTGCTAGTTTCTTGCTTAGCCATTTTCGATAAAGAATTCATCTTGCTTTACACACGTTTGTCTCTGTTAATCACAATCACAATCTCGACGTGACGAATGGAATGCTTGGGGAGGTTTTTTATGTCCGGCTCTCAAAAAATCGTTATCGTTTCTCTGCCACTATCCCGATTAATCCGAGTTTGTTTCATCCGCTGTTTTCATCATTGAGGAATGTGGAAAAAGGAAAATTAAAAGCTTGCATTTCAAAGATAATTTTAATTTATATTTTTTATACATATAATCAAGGTCTGGTGCATAACACACCTATCAGTATATAATAACTAACATTTATACAGGCGTTTTCCGTAAAGTCCTAGGATGTTTTGTGAACATAAATAAAATAAAAACATAAAATAAAAGCTTATTTCAGTGGGAAAACATAGAAGTATTTCCCTTTTTTCCTTCTGTTCCAATTTAATATTTTTATTTTTCTTATTAGCTCTGTATTATATGTAAAAAAAAGTTTTGGATCGTCGTCGTCCGATATTTGACTCATATCGGCGCGAGCAAGCAATACATTTACTATCAGTGGAAACGAAACAAAATTTCAAAATATGTTTGGCTGTTTTATAACAGCGATTGTGCTATTTTAATAATTCTCGTATTTATAATGCTAATATATGCCTGACCTTCTGACTTCACTGACTGCCTAAGCAGGTGTTTTCTAATTGCACAATTCCCTTTTCATTGTCTACGAGCTCTCATGCAAGAAACGAACACACACGTTAGAGCCTTGGCTGTAATTCTTTTGTCCTCTTTCTCCCCTAGATCTAGATTTCCATACGTACCCACAGATGAAAGACTTAAGCTTAGTACTGCGTGGCAGCCGGTGTGACCAGATGTGCATGCTCTAAGGTTACACTGTTATGTATTTGCTTACAAATAAAACCAGTTAAAATTCAAATATTGTATGAAAAGAAGCCGGAATTTACTATTTGTGGGTGCTGCAGGACGACAATGTACTGCGAAATCTCCTCAGTATTGGATAAAACCGTTCTTACATAACATAAATCCAATAAACATGTTCTTTATCTCCTAGAAATGAATAAATTAAATATCAATATAACCGGCTCCTTAATTAGATTCAATTTGTCTTCATTATTGCATTTTTCTAGCCGCCTTTTCATCGACGAAAATAAGAATATATCTGTTTCATCGAAATCACCGATAGTACCCTTGATGGTTGTCTTTGACACTTCTAATTGTATGAATTGCGAACACACACAGAACGCCAGAGCTCGTGGTCATGATAAGCTTGGTCCTCGTAGCGTTTGCTTGGATTGGAGCAAACGTCAACAATCTTCTGTTGATGTACTTGGCCGCTCTTCTCATTGCCATTTGGACTGGTCTGCATGGTAAACACGTCAAGATCATCAGCCGGAAAACTGAATATATTCTCCAGGGAGACTGTAGCGATTCTGCAGCACTTGGATATGAAGCGAACCTAGAACGAATGTTTCCGCTCAACAACAACCACTTAACAATTACTTATTACTAATTACATACAGGCTTCGATCCATTCAATTTTGAAATTCAATAAAACGCAAAATCGCTAAAATTCCACGAACTAAAACATGGTGTACGGGTCTTATGACTAGCAACTAATATTCAGAATGGCTCGTATGTATATGAACATGGTAATGATGTTCCATAAAAAATGTTCCATACAGTTTATAAAAATAATGATACATTTTCTGGTATATGAATAATGAAGATATGTATGATTTCCTGTCATGGATTTTGTACATTTTTTTATTTGAGTCGCTGGATCTCATAAAGAGCTTTCGAATGCATTGAATTTCAATTGTTTATGAATAAAATGTACAAATAACACAAGCAGCAGGTTGACGAAGACTGACTCAAGTGTTGCAGCATGCGTACAAGCTGGTACAGAATCGTGCGTTACCCAACACTGGTGGCGGATGGCTCTGGAACTTTCTGGAAGATATTGGTAAAAGAAGAAATCGATTGAGTGTCCACATTTGTGAGTAGTTTTTTATGATATACTCTAAGCCGTAATTAAATAAAGTATCGTTTTAGGACGACCCATTGGCCAACCGTTTGTGTGTTCCTCACCGGCGTTTTTGTGCCGGGCTCAATAAAAGCGCCCATTGCCTACCGTCACGTCAACTGGAACCCACGAGATGTCTTCAATGAAACAGCTAAGCAGCTATTTTGCCATTTTGCGAAGCTGCTGAATGTTAAAGATGTAGTTGCCAGAGGTCCAGACGGATGAAGTGCGCCTGTCACGCGCAGCCGTTGCTCAGCTCATGGCGCGGAGCCACCGCTTTTCTACAGATTGCTGAAGACGCTATGGAGAAAGGCATGCAATCTCGCAGCTCATGGCTTATAATATAAGGCTCTTCATGTATGATACCCAGAAGAACAACTTTATCCATTGGCACACATTTGATCGATACATAAAGGACTAAAGGAACATGTATGTACATTTTTGTTCAATCTATTCGTTTTTAAAGAGATTGACAAACATATTCCATGTCCATCAATGATATACGAGAATGGCAGCTCCCAGGAGAAACTCAACAAGATATTTCCCACTCTAAAAAGGATCCGAGTCAGTCGCATAATGATAGACTTGTGCGGGGAAATCCAAAGGAATGGTAATCAAAGGTATTTTCCCTTTACGCATCACCCTGCTGCACTGCATGTCCACCATTTCGCGAGCAAAGAGACCCTGCTCCAGGTGACGCTCTCTTGGCGTTATGTGCAGCATTATGGCGATATGTGTTATGTGGCGAATTCTGGAAGCTGTTGGAGAAGGGAATTAGCCTCAAGCATCTATTTATTACCTGTTTATCCGCTGAGCTATTGACTCAACTGCCTTCTTACTCGTTGCAGATTTTTGCCAGTCTTATGGCAGCTGGGAAATGATTACATGGACTGTTGCAAGCGTGGAGCTGCTTTGGCATACCCTTGCCAGACAGAGAGGCCTGACTGATTAAAAGCCAGAAAGCAGGAGACGCTCTTAGGATGCTGTGTTGGTCACAGGAATACCTGAAAGTATACCGAAGGTGGCCATAGGTCAAACCTCTTTAAACGGCCATCGAAATCGATGTTGTGTAGAAGCAAAGGCTATAGGCTATAGGTCAAACGCATAAAACCCAAATTTAATAAAAAAGGCACCGTCAATGTCTTAAAACAGTCTTAACTGTCTTAACTTAATACATTAGAAGATTGATGTACATCTTAGAGAGCTGAGCTATATGGGCATCGGTTTCTGAAGTATAGTGCATTTCTTGGAGCACCATTAGCAACGATATCGTGGAACTGTGACTCTCCGGAACGGAACGGAGCTCGTTGAAAGCCATTTCGATTCTAGTTATTTGTGCCTTTTTTCTTAAATCAGATTCCTAAGTGGATTATGTATTGTATATACAAGCAACAGTTTTTCCTTTTCGCGGATAAATCGCAAGGAGAAGGCCATGCGCTCCAAGAAGGAGAGACGCTAGGGGAATATTGCATTGGAGAGTCTGCGGAGTATGCACAGATCGGTAGGAGAGAGCCTCCGATTGGCTAATCCCGACGAACAACTTGGCTAAAAGCGTTAGGAAAACTCAAGGAAGGCGCAAAAGAGTAAAGGAAAGATGCAGTTCGAAACATTAGGCGCGAGACAAACCAGACCCAGAACCAGACCCGAACAGATTTAAATGCAAGCATGTACCATCCATAGCTTTTTTTATTGTTAATCAAACACATTGTACTTCGTATGTGGATTAGAGTTAATTGGTTCGGCGGGATGTTGATGGTCCATCGTCTAAACTAAGTCAAATAAGGAACTTGATATTCATGTGCATGTTGTGGTAATTTTGTGAAGTTAGCAATAGAAGTTTGCCCTTTGGGAAATCGTCTTTTTGGGCTGTGAAACAAATAAATTAAAAAAAATATCATATTAATTTGTCGGAGGCTTTTACCTTTAATTGAATGGTTTGTTTTCCTATTCTTTAGCGGGAGCTGGGGTATTCCCTTGTTTGGCTTCAACGAGGTTGTAGTACGTGGCTTCGTCCATGGCGTTGCGTAGATTTGGATTGATGTTTTTAGTGTTGGCCTTGTAAATTTTGACCTCATTGCAGAAATCTGGCCAGAAATCTTCCCCCTCAGCTAAGTTGAGCACCGTTTGGAAGCGCTCGTAAATGATCGTGGCCTTTTGACGAATGATTTTGGCCTGTGCATTGAACGCAGCCTCATCGGAGGCGTCCATCTTCCAGACATTCAAATTTCCCAAATATCGTCGCATCGAACGGATCGTTTCCACACTTTGTGGATTACGCAGCAGCATTAGCTTGGTCACATCCAATTTTTTTAATAGCTTCAGGTTCGTAAAGCAACGGCTCACATTAGCTCGACGCTGGTTCAAGCAGCAGCGGACCACTGCGGTTAGCTGAATTAAGTCCCGCTCTATAAACATAGCTGTCTCCTGTTTTTTGATCTCCTCTCGTAGTTTCACTTCTTCCTGCTTGGTCGTCTCGTTGGAAGAGGGTTCAGCGACGAGACGTCCTGGAAGCGATCTGGGATCTTTTTGTCCTGACAACAACTGGAGCTTCAGTAGATTGGCCTCTTTACGCGACTCATCCATCCAGGACTGCTCCGCAGCGGCATTTTCAAATCTCTTCGGCTTGTTGTAGTTGATGTTGATGCCGAAGACTTTGGATGGAGGCATATACAGCAACAGCATATCATTTTCTTTATTCTGTGTCGAAAACATTTTGTATTTTGAATTGTATTCTAAATTGTCTTCATGAACTGATTTACTTACGTTTGCTGGGTGTGATTGCTTTTGGTTGTTTGCAGTTTCTTGTTGCACAGTGGTCGCCTTCTCGGCCACTTCATCAATTGCAATCATAGCCCTGCGGAAATCGGCTTGCTTCAGGTGATGTTCAGTGGAATACTCTTCCTTAAGCTTGAGGTATGGCGTGAGGTTTTTCAGTAGTATGTAGCCGATCTGTCCCGAGCCATAAAAGCTCACAGTGTACTGCTTCTTCCTATTAACATCATGGGTAATCACCGCCGGCCATGGTTTGTAGCCGCGCACTTTGGCAAACACCAAAT